ATATCAACATGGGCGGACCTATCCTTGGTTAAGCGACATTCGAAAAATCATATTATATAAAGATATCAAGTTTTAGTTTGATAAATATAAATATATGAATTGACACCTTTTGATATTATATAAAGATATCAAGCCTTACTAGTTACTAGTTTATTATAATTTTTTTACGCGTCCGCTACTACATATAGGGTTAAATGACCTTAAGGATAATATCTTGAGAGACTTCACAAGTGAAATTATATTTTTTTTAAAAATATGACGAAGTTATTTACGATTCTTTTAAAATGCTAAAATAAAAATTATACCTTAAGTCTTTCGGAGCCAAACATCGGATGCATAAGAGTTGGTTGTTTGTATATGTCCACACAATCATATATGTCCCATGAATCGTCTACAAAAGATACTACAATGACATTTAAAGAGAAATAAAAGGATATATTTTACAAAGAAAAAGAGTTCCTTCACCATATTTACATTTTTTGTAAAATGAAATGTCGAAACATATATTATTGAAGAATAAAATCCTATAAACATTATACCTCAATCGTCAAGTTTGATCTTCCGGCAAATTTGTGGCTCTCGATCACATTTGAAAGAAATATAATCACAATTAAAAGAGAGAAGAAAATTGTTTTCACTCTCATCGCAGCCATTGGACACAATGATTTTGAATTGTTTATTGAGGGGAAATATTATTAGTACAAGATTTTGATTTTAATCTTAGTAAGTGGTTCAAAAAATGTTCTAAATAAGGTAGATATGCAAATCAAATACGATATGATTAGAACTCTTCCTAATTTGGACGATTCGTTTCCCATTATGTTGAAGTTGTCCATGTTAAATGTATTAAATATTTTTACACTATCAGACCATTTTAAAGGTAAACATGGTATTAATTATCTTTAATTAATATTTAATATTATCCTTTTAGATAGAATTCAAATTTGCTGAAAAAGAAAATAAATTCCCGATTTTAGTCTCTATATTATGTAACTATGTACATTTAATCATTAATTCATTAAAATGGGCTGTAATGATTCTTAATACTAACCAAAGTTAATTTATTTAACATAAGCTATACAATTTTTTATTTTTTTAAATAAAGAATTTTTATCCATGGAGAAGCTACCATGTATTATATTTTGTGACAAAGCAAGAAACATCATAGGATATTCATCAATCATCACAATTAAAGAGCGCAGAGGACTTCACATAAGAAAAATGGCATAAATTGATTAATTGATTTGATCCACGTATTCTAACTCTGTTAGCATGGATTATCAAGGTTTAACAATCAGATTAATTAAAGATTAAATGTCTTGGTCTAATTAATTGGTACACGGAGTTTGAATTGACTTAAAAATTGGTTAAACTTATTTTAAATAAGTTTTTGACTTTTGAATTTGTTTGACAAATATAATTTTTTTTAATAATCAATATATATATATATATAAAAATGAGGATCTTCATTCCGCCTATGTGGCATGCCTCAATAATTAGAAAAATATTTTCTA